GACTCATTCTTTTTTTTTTTTTTTAGTTGTTTATGGACACAATATCTTCATTTTTATTTATTTATTTTTATGTGGTGATGAGGATCGAACCCAGGGCCTCACACATGAGAGACAAGTGCTCTACCACTGAGCTCCAGCCGCAGCCCACTTTGACACATTCTTAGCAGAGAGGCTGGGTCTCAAGCAGGACTGTTGGCAGGAAGAGGCCTCCCTTTTTAGGGTGTCTTCACCGGGCCAGGGTGCAGGCCAGGTTGTCTGGGCTTGGTTGGCCCTGCTGGGTCTTGGACTAGAAAGGTCAAGGCCTCCTTGTTCCTTCTCACATTCCCCGAGGAGTAGGAGGTCCAGCCCCTTCCCCTCATATTAGAGCTTAACCCTGAGAGAGGCCTCTGATCCCTGTGGGATCCCTATCTGAGTCCCTGCTGCCTCCTCCGTGGGCTCTGGGGGTGCAGGTGAGGCACCTTGCCCACACCTCTGCCCGCTTCTTATGATTCTGCAGCAACTCAGCCCTGCACTCCAAGCCCGGACAGGCCGGGGGGCGGGGCCTTCCAGTGGGATCAGGCTTCCTCCCCATGTCTTTGGGGGCAGTGGGTAGCTGGAGGGGCCCAACCTGTTACCTCCGGAAGCTCTTCTCGCCTGGTGGCCGGGAGCTGGGGCGGGATCCAGGGAGCAGCCCATCCGTCTCCTGGCTGTCCTTCTCTTCCTCTTGAAGAGACTCATCTCCCAGGAAGTCTCCGTCATCCCAGGAGCCCACCTGGCCGTCTGTCGCCTGATATCGAACCTCCACACACAGGCTGGTCTGGCGGGAGAGAGGGGTGTGAGCAGCTGGGATGCCAACCATCGCGGGCCCGGGGAACTCTGCTGCTTTGTGGTGTTCATGAAATGCCTTCACCCGACTTACTGGAGGAAGGTGAGGGGAAGTATCCCCCTGACTATTTTGCAGATGAGAAAAAGGAGGCTCAGGAAGATGGACACTGGAGACTCGGCCAGCTCTATGGGAACTGGCCCCCAATCTCACTGCATTGTCTCTGCTCCTTTCTGGTGCCCAAGGTCAGGGGCCCACCCTGGACAGGTGAGCCTGGCAGTGGAGGTGGGGTCTGAGTCTGTGATGCATAATCAAAAGTGTCATTCAGTGTCCCCAAAGATTAGGTCACTTCCTCATCCTCAGAACTGTGGCTGCCTGTAGGCTTGAGAGGGGGTCTGCCTGGCAATGTGACAGAATGAGCTAAGCTTGCCCTCCAGGTGAGGACCCAGGCCCTGGACACCCTACAAAGGCATGGAATCAGCATGTCTTTCTTTTTACTCTTCTGACACCCACCTTCCTACCTGGAGAGGAAGGGATCTTGGGGTTGTCCTGGGCTTTTCCACTGGAGTAAATAGAGCACCAAACTTGGGCGCAGACTTAACAGTTGAGAATCCTGATGGGGTTCTTGCTCTGTGTCCTTTGGCCACTTACTGAGAACTAGCCAACTGCCCCCACTGCATAGCGAAGACTCCTGCCAGTTCCCTCCTCAACCTACATGGGTGAACAGAGGCCTCCGGGACATGGTTGCCCTTCCACACAGTTCTGGGGGTGACCTGCTCATGCATCTTGACAGGCAGCCTTCCCTCAGCACTTGGACCCCCTAATGGCCAAGCCTGCATTTCCCAAGGGAAGGGAAAGGTGCACATGTTTTCTGATCCGTCCTGGTGCTAGGTGTCTTGCTAAGAGGCTTCCATGTGAACTCATTTGATCCTAACACTTCAACCTACCCTGCCTAACAAACCAGGAGGTAAGCAGCATGCTTACGGTCAGTTCAGAAATGCTGGAGCTGGGATTTGAGTTCAGGCTCCTGACTATAAGCCCCATGTCCTTTTCCCTGAGCCAATGGGATCTCTCTGGTGTGATTGAGGATGTTGCAGTGGGAAATGGTACCTGGATTTGGAAGCCCTGGGTCTCAGAGCTGCCGCTGATGTAGATCAGCTCTCTGACTTTGGACATCCATCCCCGTCCAGAACTTCAGCTTCCCATCCATAAAATGGCAGGAAAGGTAAATGCTATATGGGCTAGAGAATCTGCATGTCCTCTCAGCTGAAATCCTAGGTGGCATTCTAGACATCCAGGCATGGCTGTGCTCCCACCCATTTCCTGGTTCTTTCCCATCTCCCCTCCCACACTATATTCTCTTCACGCAGGCTGCCATTTTCTCCAAGCCTTCCATTCCCATTGGTGTCCACAGCTTGTTCTGCATTCCCTCTCCCCTTGCTGCGGTGGCTGAGACTCCACCCTCTAACTTCAAAAAGCCCACCCTAGCCTGAGGGAGAGTAGGCCTGGCTCAGAATGGCCTGGCTCAGAAGCCCCAGATGTTCTTCTTGTTCTTATGAGGCCACGTGCTGAGATGCCAAGCCACAGTGTAGATTTCTGCCCCACTCTGAGCACTCTTCAGAGAGGGCTCCTTTCCTTTTGGGTCCTGAGGCTGCAGTCCTGCCCTCTGAGGCTCTTTCTAACAGTTACTACATAAAGGCATACTTTATGCAGACCCTTGGAGGTGATGGGGGGACCATGGTACAGCCCCTGTTGCACCCATGAGGCCAGGAAATGACAGTTAACAGTATTATTTTATTTATTTATTGAGCCCTTACTGTGTGCTCTCCCATTCTAAACACTTCTTGTGTGTTCTCATTTAATCCTCAGAACAATCCTGAAAGGTAGATACCATACTTCTGTTCACTTTGCAGATGACACGTTCCCTGCCTCAGTCACCGTTAGCAGGTGGCCTAACCAAGATTCATACCCGGGGCTGGGCTCCTCACCACCATGTCAACTGCCCATGGGCGTCCAGGGAAGAGCTGGAGGGGACAGGTGAGAACAGAGCCTGGGGGCTGGGTGGCCAGGGCTTTACCCCTCCTTTCTTAGGACATGTGTTAAGTGCTGGACAGTGTCACTAGGGCACGTGTGCTCAGGCTGAAGGGCTGGAGTGTGACAAGTGGAGTGAAAAATGAGGCCCCTGCCCTCCCAGAATGACTGGCCTTTGAGAGGAGCCAAGTCAGATGCACAGAGTGGAGGCTCCAGGCCCAGCAGGGCTCCGTCTGGCTTTGGAAGATGAGAGAAGCCTCCTTAGTGATTCCCAAGTGGAATCCAAGTGGAAGGACTCAATAGAAGAGAAGGAATGGCACCTTCCATCTCCTAGTGTCATTATAGGAAGGTCTGGGGTGTCCATGCCACAGAGGATTCAGCACCGGTCACGAGACTGAGTGTCTCTACCAGTGTCCTCAGTCTCTTCTGCCCACCGTGCCTTGCCATGCAGGCCCTCTCCAGACCACCCTGTGTATTGGGGAGAGGGAGTGAAGCAGATGCCCTCTCCCTATGATGGGAAAGTCCAAGGACTCTGGTCACACGTACCTTGATGATAGCATTGTTGTCATCGATCAGAGTCTCGGTCACCTCCACGTGGTTCTCCTCCACCACCTTCTGCAGCACCATGCGGAAAGTCCCGATCAGCCTGTGAATGGCAAGGAGGCATGGTGGCTTCACACCAGAAGCCACAGTGAGGAGCAAGGCTGGTATCCCAAGGGCCATGAAAAGCTGGGAAAGAGACAGGACTCCTTGGCTGGTGCTAGAGATAATGGCCCAGGAGTCAGGGCCCACCTGGTCAGGGCAGCATGTCCAGAGGGTACGTGACCCCTACAGGTGTGTGTGGTTGTTTGTGTGAGGCCTGTTTTCTCAGGAGAGTCTGGGGAGCAGAACCCTGGGATAAATAAAGTTCACGGCCTGGGGCCAGGGCACGGTGGGAGTAGGTTTCAGCTGAGACCCCCCAGAGCAGCTTCCAGGGGTCCTATGGAGGCTTCTGGGAAGGACTGAGGCTGCTGGATACACCAAGCTCCTCCTTTCTACCTCTTAAACCATGGGCAAGGCTGCCCATCGCCAATACCACGTCTTCTTTTATCCTCATCCGCAATCCCCAAGCTCCTCAAGGGCTAGGACCTGTGCCACCGCAGAATCCCATGTTCCAACTGCACAGCAGGGGACAGGCATGCAGCATTGGGGTTAGAAGCACAGTCTGGTGCTCAGAGAGACTGGGGTTTGAGACCCAGCTCTCACATCAGCGAGGCATCTGTCCCTGGAACTCACCTACACTCTCTGAGTCTGTTTGCTCCTAAGCTGAGCTAACGACCCCTATCTCACCAAGTGGATGAGATGCTCTAGTCCTTGTTTGTGCAGTGCCTCCAGGCTGTGAACCAGGGTCAGTGGTATTTTCTCTTTTCCACACAGTTTTTAATTGCTACATTACAGTCCTAAAAACAGTGGGATTTGTTGGTACATATTTGTACATGCACACAATATAACAATATAATTTGGCCAATATAATTCCCCAGCAATTCCCCTTTCCCTCCTCTCCTCCCTCACCCTGATCCCTTTCCTCTATTCTACTGATCATGAGGTCCTCACGCCCACACTGGTGGTGGTTTCTATGTCCTGTCTGTATTTGATATTTCCTGCATGCTTAGAGACCTCAGTATCTGTTGGCTGAATTAGTGAGCAACAGTGGGTGTCCCTGCTCTGTCCTCTGCTGCACTGGGACAGAGCAGGGTCCTCAGAGAGGTGAACTCACATGGTGCTCCCATCTGGGTCCGTTAGAACACATACCCCATTTCTGTAGAAGAAACAAAGACCCTGGGGACATGTACCATGTGTGAGAGCTGGAAGGCTCCTGGGGGTCAACTGTGCTGCCCTTGGTTTAGAGAGGAAGAGAGTGGGGCTGAGAAAGGAGACAGGGACATAATTAATGTCACATCTGGCCAGGGCAGCATGTCTATGAGGTACATGGGCCCTAAAGATGTGAGGTGAGGTGTGAGGTGAGCTATCAGATGAACTCTGAGACGTGTTCGACGTCTATACCACGCTGAGGGCTATGGAGGATGAATACTGATTTAAAAAAGAGCAGGTGGGGAATCCATCTGTGTGAAGAAGAAGTGCTGGGAGCAGCCATGTTGGAGACATAGGAAATGTTTCCCTCCAGAGCTCAGAGCCCCATCTGCCAGCTGACCCCATCTCCCTAAAGGTGAAATTGTCCGTCACCCCTCCAGTCTAAAACGTAACTGGGCTTCTAGCCTCTTCTTAGACCAGCCCCAGGGAAGGCCCAATCCCATCCTGGTGTCTCCTCAGCTGGGGAAACGCCGTGTGTGTATTTCTGAGGAGTATCCAGGTGACGCTGATACTGCCGCTTGCAGTGCACACTTGAGAACCTGCTTATTCTCACACTTTGCTGACTGGCTCTTTAAGACACTGTCACTCCACCAGGACCTGCTGCAAGCTAGAACTCAGGCACATCTGTCCCCATCTTTATAGGCCCAGGAACAGCCAAGAAAGTTCCCCAGGTTCAGCAGAGGTACTGCACTGTGACAAGACACCCCCAGGGGGCAGGAAGGAGCTGTTCACCTGCAAGTGCTCAGAGAAGCCTCTGGTGCCTTTGGGGCTTCCCTTGCCTGAGTCTCAGACCTCAGACTTGGGAGGGTCCTGAGAGGACAGCTTGTCCAGCGCTGATGTCTGAAGCAACCTCCCTGACCAGGCTTTGGAGCCTCTGCTGGACACACCAGTGATGGGCACCAGGACCCCACTACTCCACGAGGCTCCCACTGCTAGGCCAGTCTCCACGGCCTTCATCGCACCTCAGGAGGACTGAGTTTAATTTCCCGGAGAATCCCAACCCTGCCTACACCCTGTAGACTAAGTGGCCAGTGTAGACAGTGGAAAGAGCCAGAGTCCGGAGTCAGATATGAGTACAGCCAGCGGAGTCTAAGGGAGATTCCACACCTGGCAGTTGTATGTTTTCTGGTTTGTGCTCCAGCATGTCTGCAGGCCATGCCACCTGCTTCCCTGAAGGGTGTACAGAGACACTCCTTTGAGGTGGGGCGGGGTGGAGGGCCTAGGCAAGGCTGTTCCTTTGCAGGCTGGACTCTGGCAGCAGATCCAGGCTGCACTGACCCTCCCACCTCTGCTGCAGCCTGGAAGCTGGGACTGTGACACTCCAAACTTGCATCCTCAAAGGGATCAACTTGCCACACTTCCAGGGAGTAACTTGGGGTTTTTTAACTCCTAGTAGCCCAAATAAAAATAATATTCTTTGAAATGGACAATTGATTGTATCTAAGTCTTACATAAAATATTAAGAAAAGAAGTTTACAAAACCTTGCACCTTTTACAGGTCTATAAGCAAAAGACAAGGTGCTTGCCGTGGAAACAGCTTCAAAACAACGGGAATGCCACCATCAGCCCTCCTCGCAGGCATTCCCTGGGGAAGGAGCCAGGAAAGATGGGGCAGGAAAGCCCTTGGCTCCTGCCCTTGTGGCAACCCCAGAGCCACCCTGCCCACCCAGCTGCCTTTTGTGCAGCCTGGCCTTAAATACAGTAGCTCTTTCTCCTCTGGGTGGGTCAGCACAGGACAGCAGCACCCAAGGTGATGGAGGAGGGGTGGGCTTATCTACCCCTTGGATAGCAGGGTTGATTCCCTGCAAATGCAGGTAAGAGGCCATGTGGTCTGTGAGAAGGAGCACTGGCCTAGGGCTCAGGAGGTTGGGGTTGAAGACCCAGCTCTGCCCTGAACCTGCCGTGTGACCATGGGCAAGGGCCTTCTCTGGGAATGTTCCCCCCAGGCTGTTTGGTGAAGGATCTGGGAGTTAACCCCACACCCTCTGCAGCTTCCCTTATGTGGGCCATTTAGCTAAGCCATCCATCACCAGGAAGAACTCTGCTGGAAGAACCCGTGGATGGGCCTGGCTTGCAGGGCAGGGCCAGGGGGGTCTCAGGTAATTAGCCAGTAGGGAAGGAGGCCCCGGTGTAGATGGGTCTATAGACTGACCACAATAGATTGGCAACTGGGCACCAGAATCCTATCAATAATTCATTGTGTCCCCCTGGGAGCCGGTGTCAAATGCCTCAGGCCTCCACTGCGCTCCTGGCTTCTGAATTATTCAGGGACCCTGGCATCCTCAGCAGCCAGGAGCCTGGCAATTGGGCCAGGCCATTGCCCCTCAAGATCCTGGACAGGCAGAGCAGGATGCCCAAGAACTCTGAATCCAGCCTCTCGTCCTCCTGGGAAGCTCAAGTTTCCTGGAAGGAGGCCTAGTTCCAGGCAGCGCCAAGCAGACATGGAAGACTCTTTGCTCTGGACTAGGATGCTTCCCTCTTTCCCACCATGTCTCCATCTCCCAGAAACCCCTAGATCACCAGGTGGGGGGCAGGTGGGCCTTTTCTTTGGCTCTGGGAAATAAAGCCCTGACTTCAGGATGGGAAGTCCTGAGCCCCACCTGACTCCAGGCACCCCTCCCCGCAAGCTGGCCCAGGTCAGGACGGGCCTGTGTCTCCATGAGCCGTCTTTCCTTACCCCATCCCATCTCTCAGCCCACAGTGTGCTGGACATTCTCTGGGTTTCTGAGAAATTGCAGACCCTCTCTCATCAGGCCTGGACGCCCCTTGAGGGTTCCCCTGTCTTCTCTTGGATGGGGACAGGAAGGGTAGGGAGGGAAGGATAGGAAGCAGAGCTCTCTCGGCACTAAGGACACCTGTGTGCAGCCTTAACTCCCAGCATATCCCTGTGTGGCACGGGGAGGAGGCTTGCTCTGCTGAGCTCTAAGGCTCATGGAAGCTCTGACATCTGTGGACCGGTCCCTGTTGGGGTTCCTGGGTACCCTTCCTGGCACTCAGCTTCTGATTCTGCCTCCTCCCCACAACCACGTGGTCTGCCTTGGACCCTTCTCTTGTTCCTGTGACTCCTGTCTTCATAGGTCACTTGGGTATCTCACCCCAGGGAAGAAGGCCATGCTTCATCTTGGGGATCCCTGGAGAGGTAGGTGTCTCTTACCGACCTGTCTTGCAGCTACCAGAGGCAGCTGCCTGAATGCTGTGACCCCCTTCAAGGCAAAGAGGAGGCCTCCAGGCCCTAAGTGTCTTCCCTGCAGCCCTGCCAGAAGCCCAGAAGTGCCTGTGCCCCACACTCAGAGGTCTCCAGGGCTCCTAATAAATCCCACAGAATCAAATACTCCTCGCAGCCCATGAAGCCCAGCCCTTCCTGACTCAGACATCCCCACGTGGTCTATTCTGGGCTCACCCTCTCCCCGTGCTGGGGGCTCCCATGGCGGTGCATTGGTTGGAGCGCCCTGACTCTGCCATTTGCTTCCTCCAGCAAGGCAGCCTGGTCCTCGTTTGGCTTAAGCACATGTTTTCTTTTCCTCTTCCCATGGCAACAAACCTCACACGAAGGGCCTGTGCCTTGATCCTTCCTTTTAGCCCCTCTAATGACTGGCTTGGTGTCCGTCTGGTACAGGGTGTTCCTTCAGTAGATGTTTGGTGATGACTGGCTGGGTGGATGGATGGATAGGTGGATGGATGGATGGATGGATGAGTAGATGGACAGGTGAACAGATGAATATGTCCTCTATGGCCTTCTCCTTTAGGCTTGCATTCTCTTGTCATAAAGCAAGGTTTAAAGTCCCTTCTCTCAGGCAACCCCAGGTGTTGTCTATTGAAGTTTTCTGCAACCAATATAAGAAGAGTGGACCCCTCATCCTCCCTGGCTCAGATTGAACTACTTCTACTGATATGACCTAGGATTCGGTTAGATGTTTTTGGTTTGTTCTTTCCTCCCACTGTTGAGTCACACTGAGCCATCACTGAATGAATATCTCCACACCTTTTTGGGCACACTGCAGTTAAGACATGACCTCCTCCATCTTACACAGGAGCAACTAATTTTTGAAGCCAAGATTAATTAAGTTTTGAATCCAAACTTTATATTTCTCACATTTAACCACAATTCTAAATTGTTCAAGTTCTTCTGAATTCTGTATGTCACATGGAAAAAAGGGGACACTCTTATGGGACACCTCATAGTGACAATGCTCATGTGGAGGGTGTACTTCCTTTCCAGAATGAAAGCTCCTCCAGGCCGGTGCCTAGTTTGTGCTGACACACAGAGGTGCTCAGTAAACATTTGTTGAATGAATGAACGGCTCTCTCTCATTCATCTCATAGCTGCCTTTTGTGGTAAATGACACAAGAAGACACTGAACTCAGAGGGGTTATGGAAGCTGCCCAGGGTCACACAGTAGATGACTGACCTGGGATCTGAGATCATGCTTGTCTTCTAGACCATCAGCCAAACTGCTTCCCAGCTTCTGTGAGACAAGTTCATTCCCAAGGCCCCAGATGGCCAGTAGGACAGTATCAGCCATTCTGTCTCTAGCTTCTCTCATGGTTTGCTGTCCCCCCAGCATAAGGTAGAGGAGAGCTTAAAGAAAAGGACAGGAAGCCTGGGCAGGGCTGGGGACAGAAGGGTGGACAGGAAGTGAGGTGCTCTTGGCTGACCATGGTTACTCTGAAATGGGGTCCTCTGAGGACATCATGAAGGAGCAGAATGGCAGGCAGAGACCAGCCCAAGACCTCTTTGGTCTTTGAAGATCTGCCCAGGGCAGGCCAAGGGTGCAGGTCCCAATTTGAGCCCAAAGAGAGGGTCATCCGAGGAGCAGGGCAGGCCTCCAACCCCACCCCACACTTACTTGTTGCTGAAGACTTTGCTGTAGTTGAAAATCTGAATCTCGAGCATCTCGGTTCTGTCAATGTTGCTGGCCACTGGCCACCGGAACGTCTGGGGAGAGAGGGAGAGCTGTGGCCTTGGGTATAAATAGTGGGTAGGGTGTGGAGGGTGAGAGGGGTTGCCAATAGCCAGCCTGCCCCTCACAAGCGTCCAGGACTCCCTAGGGACAAATACTCAGCTGGACTCTAATCCCCACAGTCACATCACGGGGGTGGCTGACCACTCTTCTTCCACAGATGGTGCTCAGAAGGTCACGTGGGCAGTGCAAGATCCTAGACCTTCCCAGGACTTGTGACTCGGTCTCCAGGGCAACAGCAATGATTGTGGGTGTGACCTGGCGTTGGTGCGTGCTGACTGGAGTCATGGGCCTCGGGATCTCTCCCAGTGGATTACTCTGACCAGCGTAGACCCTGCCCTGGCAGATCAAACCACCCCTCATGTGGCAGTTAACACTGGGGACAAGCTTTAGCTATTGAGTGTTAGGAGGGTCAGACCCACAGCCTGTCCCCAATGTGCTGTTTCTAGAGTCACCCTTGTCCTTTGGAGTCCTCCCTAAATCAAAAATAATGATAAATCGGGACTTGGCTGGGATTTTTCTCACTACCCTAGAAGAGGCAGCAAGGGCCCAACACAGGACCTGCTACCCCACCTCACCCAGTCCTCCTCCTGCATGGGACAGCAAAGAAGACTGGGAAGGGAAAAGAAGAAAGAATTACATCCTGGGGGCTAGTGTTTTGTGGTATCCCCCGGAGAAGCAGTTCATAGAGATCGGGCACCTGCAAGACAGACAGCCTGACATGCAGGTTCCTAGTAGCATCTGCCTGGGCACTGACCCAGCTGGCCTTTCCCAAAGCCTCTTAGGGGACCCACAGAGCACAGAGGGCAGGAGCCCAGGGCACTTCGTTGGGTGTGGCAAGTGTGTGGCTTAGGCTCTGCAGGCAGGAAGTGCCCAGAAACCCTCTCTCAAGGGCTTCCTAATAGACAGGGGTCCTCGGCTCAGAGGAGGCTGTGGGGCTATAGCCACAGAGCCAGAAGCTCTGGACCCAGAATGATCTCGCTCCCTCCCTCTGCTGGAATGGGAGATTCGGAGGGTCTGAGCAGGGGTCCCCATCCATTCCACATCTGGAACCCCACTCACGAGAGATGGGGAGAAGGCCAGGTAGAAACAGGTGCTGGGTGAGGGTGTATACTCTTCCTAGCTGGACTTTGGATAACCAAAATGGCCCCAGGGCTTGGAGAGCTGCTCAATGCTGTTGGAGGATGGTATCAGGGGGATTTGACAGGTGGGAGGCAATGACTGTTTAAGTTTCCTTTTTATACCCTTTCCAATTCAGACTGCTCCATAAGCCAGCAGTACATAATAACAATGATAGTAGTAATTGTTGCCATTTATAGAGAGCTTTTCATGGTGTGGGGGTCTGAAGTCTGCGTGCACTAATTCGTTTACAACAGCCCAAGAGGCCAATAGTGCCTTCTCTGTTTTATGGACAGGCAAGCTGGGGCTCAGGGAAATGGTATGATGTGGAGACGGCTAATGGCTGAGGGCGCTGGGGAGCTGGCTTCCTCAGGCCCAGGCTGCAGGCTCGCCATTTCCAAAGTTGGGCTTTCCTCTTGCTGACTGGAGGGGACTTGGAGGGCTGGGGACACACTGGGCTGGGCTGGCAGGTGTGTGCAGGCCTGTCTCAGGAAGATGGCCTTCCTGTCACCTCCCTTCAGGACTGGTCCAGTCCTGGGGGTGCTGGTGTGGGCATGAGAGGGAGGAAGAGGCAGAGGAGGGAGGGTCCTGGGGTGCGGTGGGAGGTGGTGGAGGGGAGCGGGAGAGCTGGGAGGCCTCCTGGGCCTCATTAAGAAGCTCGGGCTCCCGCTGACTGGTGCCTCTGGCAGGCGGTTGGCATAATGAGGCGGCTTGGATGGGGCTGCTGGGAAATAAGGCGGCTCTGGAAAGCCCAGCTCATTAGCTCTAGGCGAGGGGAGAGTGCTGGGGAGCCACCGAGACTGGGCTCTTGGAAGAAGCGGGCAGGCCTATTGATCCACCCCAGGGGCTGCTGGTGGGATTCAGTGTTGAAGGAGAGAGGAACAGGAAGGAGCCGAGATGGGAGGAAATGGCACCATGGAGGGAGAGCGGCTTAACTAGGTTAACGCCAGGGCGGCAGGAGAGTCATTCCCAGGAAACTCGATGGACTGAGCCAAGGGGTTGGCAAAGGGAGCTCCTGGGGTCTCTGCTGGCCCACTGCTGGGCGCAGTTCAGCTGGTGGAGACCCAAGGGCCCAACCATAGGCCAGCTGGCCAAGTGGACAAGGGCTCAGTAGCCATCTCCCTATTTTTTACCTACACTATTCTTTCTGCTCATTTCTCTATTTTCCCTCTCTCTCTCTCTTTTCTTCTGCTTTTTTTGCTTAGTACCTCCCTTTTGTCTTACATCAGCTTCTCTCTTTCTCTCCCTCTCGGTGGTTCCCACTCCTAACTGTATTTTCGGATTAAGATAAATATCTACCTCATCTCTGTTGAAAGAACCAAATGCAATCACAGATGACAGGACTCTGTAAACAACATGGCACTGTGGAGATGGAGGCATTATTTGTTTGGTTTTGTTTTTTCCTGTGGGACCTCTATACATGTGCGGCCCCTCTCCCTGGTCCTTCCTCTCCCTCCCTCTCTGACTCTTCATCTGCCATGGCCTGTCAATTTTTCCTGTCTCTCTCTTTTTTTGCTCTTCTCATCCTGATTTCATTTCTCATGGTCTTGTTTTGCTACCTACGGGGGTGGTGTGTCCATACATGGCAGAGAATAAACAGGATGAGGTGGGAAGTTTGGGGCTTTGGGACCTCAGGAGGGAGCCTGGTTCACTGCACCCCTCCCCTGACAATGCTATTTAACCCCTGGACCACTTGATTGAAGGGAAAGGGCTTCTGAAGGAAGGTCTCCAGAAGGTCTACCTGGAACACCATGCACTGGTGACATAGCAGCTCAGCAAAGATGCAGGAAAGGGAGGAGCCCAAAGGCGTAATGCTGGTTGGTGGCAGAGGGTGGGACTGGAACCCAAGTCTCCAGAGCTTGGCTGGGCTTAGTCCACTCTGCTGGGCCTTCTCCTGAGGCTGACTCAGAGGCCTGTGGTTCCGGCCATCCTTCTAGGTTGTCAGCCGCAACACAACATTTGCTTATTGAGTGCTGACCAGGCACTGGCTATGCACTTTACACATGTTATATAATCGAACCCCCACTTTACAGATAAGGAAACCAGGGCCCAGTGAGGATTTGCCTAAATTAAGAGGCCATACAGCTTAGTTGTTAAGACAAGAGCCAGGCTACCTAGGTTCAGGTCCTGGCTCTGCCACTTAGCAGCTCTGTGATCTTGAGCAGCTTTCCTTGCCTCCCAGCGTCCTCTTTTGTAAAACAGGTGAGAGTGTCACCTAACCCTGGGCACAGGGGAAACCCTGAAGGACCCGTGTCTGTGGTACTCCTGGGTGTCTCCCTGCATCCTAGGTTGGCCCCATGGCTGACTTTCACCAACAGAACATGGCAGAGGTGATATTGTGTGGCTCTTAGAATTTCCATTTTCACCCTCTTAGAAGACAATGGCATGTAAAGAAGTCTAGGCTGTCCTGTTAGAGGGAGGCCATGTGGAGATAGAGTCCCTAGAGGATGAGGCCATGAGGTGGAGACCCAAAGTGTCATCCCTAGATGACAGCAGCACCCATGGAACTCCAGCTGAACAACATCCAGTTCAAACCCATCAACACAGGATCATAAGCAATCCTCACACACAGGTTGTGTCAGTCATGGTTTAGGGTGGTTCATTACACAACACTAGGTAATGATGACATCACCCTACGCTCTCTTGTGGCTCTAAGTATCAGACTATGTCAAGGACACTTGTCACCAGAGGCAGAGCTTGGCTCCATGCTCCAGGCCTGGCTTCCCCATGCACCAGTTCTCTTGCTCCTCTCCTTCCACTGGCTTTGAGAACTCCAGGAACAGCCTTGACTGTCACTCTCGGGGCAATCAGAGCAGAAGCAGAGCTAAAACCCAGGTTTTAGTCGGGTTCACTGGGGTCTCCCCACACTCATTGCAGGATCCAGCCCATAGTAGGCGCTCTGCAAACAGGTCTCAAATGACAGACCCAACTGCAGTGCTGCTCCTTACTTGTGGAGTGCACTTCGGCAGATTAGTGCTCCTCTCTAAAGTGTGATGGCAACAGGATGCACTTATTGGGGTAACCATGAGGCTGGCCAGGCGCTCAGCACAGACCTGGCACATGGTGAGTTCCCAGTTAACAGAGTAGCTTATTATAATGGCTGTGATCATGATGGTCATTCCAGAAACTGGAGCTAGGCCTGGCTTCTTGGTGACAGACATGGCCCTGTTGCAGGTGTGTGGGTCCAGGGGCCACTTCTCCAGCCTGGGCAGCACCAGCATGATTCTGTGGCCAGAGCTAAGGATGGTATATTCTATTTTGGAGGATTCCCTGAAAACAGATGGCCTTGAGACTGGGCCAAAGAAACCCAGCATGTCATCTAAGACCCCTCTCCATCTCAGACCCAGGACATGTGCCTGGTGTTGCCAGAGGACCAGGTAGCAGCTAAGCTAAACACTGGGGCTCAAGATGTTGCAAGCCGGTGAGCCACATGTTTACTGATCACCTTCTGTATACCAGGTCCTGCGCATGATACCTTGTGGGAATGCTTCTGGATAGTTCTGGAGACAGACACTAACCTGAAATAGTAGTCTGCAATAGTACCTTTGACAGGAGTAGGGAGGTGGGTATTAGGGTAGTGGGAGGGAAAGAGGATCTCTGCCAGGAGAGGTCTCAGGAGCCCTTCAAGTGTCCAGTCATGACCCAGTTCACCAGCTCCAGGCTTAGCCCTGACCTGACTGGTGCTGGCCAGGGTGCAGGGTTCCACTTCCTATCAGCCCCAGGGATCTGAGGCTCTGCAGAGAGATGTCCCTGATGTGCGTGGAGAATGACCTGGCTTGTGCCCAGCTTGATCACTGACTAGTCCTGGAGTTGTCCTCAGCCAGCAAGATAGCATCCTTAAGGGATTGTCTTCTGT